ATCTGGACCGATGGTGGCACCATCTACCCGCCATCGGTCAAGGGCCGAGTGACCATGGCCAGGGACAATGGGCAGAGCTCGGTGACGCTGACCATGAGTGACCTCAGGGACGGCGATTCCGGCTCCTATTTCTGCGCCAAAGCTGCTGGTTCTGGTTGGGCTGCTGCTGGTTATGTTGTTCTTGGCCCCGCCCCCATCGCTCTGTCCCTATTTGTCCCCAAACCCCTCCCCCAATTCTCCTGACCCCCCTTGACCATTTTCCCTTAAATTTCCCCCATTTCTTTCCCTCTCCCAGAATCCCCACAGCCTCGGCCCCAAACCTCAACCATCAGCCCCAAATGACGACTTTTGGCCCCAAATCCGATCCTTTCCCACAATCCCATTTAAGGTTAGGGTTAGGGTTAGGGTTAGGGTAAGGGTTAGGGTTAGGGTTAGGGTTGGGGTTATGGTTAGGGTTAGGGTTAGGGTTAGAGTTAGGGTTATGTTAGGGCTAGGGTTGGGTTTAGGGTTAATGTTAGGGTTTAGGCTAGGTTTAGGTCTGCTTTAGGGTTAGGGTTAGGGTTATGTTTGGGTTAGGGTTAGGGTTAGGGTTAGGGTTAGGGTTAGTGGGGAATGATTAGAGGAGCAGATCTGTTGTTTTAATAATTTAATTAATTAAATTAATGAGCAGGGGTCCATCTCTGCCGGTTCAGTGTCTGCCATTGGCTACGTAGCCCTCGTATGGGTACAATGGCAGCGATTTGGGGGCAATGGCCGGGATTTGGGGACAATGGCCATGGTTTGGAGACAATGGTCAGGTCCCATCCCCCACCCCCATCTCCCCTTTCCCCGCAGGGCTCCGGGCGGCCGTGACCCTGTTGGGGTCCAGCGGTGACCTCCGGCCACGGGGGGGTCACTGACCCTCGTCTGCCACGGCTCCGGATTCGATTTTGGGAAATTTGCGATGTTTTGGCTTCGACAGAGCCCCGGGATGGCGCCGGAATGGCTCGCAGGAATCACCAACAGTGGCAGCCCCTGGTACGCGCCATCGGTCAAGGGCCGAGTGACCATCGCCAGGGACAACGGGCAGAGCTCAGTGACGCTGACCATGAGTGACCTCAGGGACGGCCATTCCGGCTCCTATTTCTGTGCCAAGTGCTCCGCTGGGGGTTGGGGCGCTGATGCTGCCGTTCGTTGTCGTTCGGGGTAATTTGGGCTCCCCCATTTTTCCCAAACTCCTCCGTTCTCTCCCCAGCTCTCAGTGTCCTCTCGGTTGTCTCAGTTTTCCCGAAAACTCCAGGGTTTTTCCCTAAATGTCACGGTTTTTCCCTAAATCTCAAGGTTTTTCCCTAAATCTCAGGGTTTTTCCCCAAATCTCAGGGTTTTGCCCCAGATTGGCCCCGGGGAAGCCCAAGATCGTCTCTGTTTAGGGCAGAGGTCCCGGAATGGGGTGTTGGGGTGTCCAGGAGGGTTCGGGGGGCTCCTTTTGGAGAAGGTAATGACCCCGAGTGAAATGACCCCAATTCATGGGAAAGTAGCAGATTTTGGGCA